ATCCTTTTAACTAATAAAGAATCCTAACTAATTCAGGGGCTCAAGGTAGTCTCAGCTGAACAGCCTATGTGATCCTTTTCAATACATAATCGAACTACGCCCCCCTCCTGCTCAAGACCCTGAAATGCCCCCTGCCCATGCTAACTTCCCACCCCATGGCCCTGACAGTAAAGGCCAAAGTCCTCAGGGTGACCGGCCACACTCAATATAATCTGACCCCTCCCTTCTCTGCCCCCAGCCTCTAACTGTCCAATGCTCACTCTGCCCAGCCATATTGGCCTCTAGGCTGCTCCCTGACATACCGGCCCTGTGCCTTCCAGCCTCTGCTTCCGCTGGTCCCTCCCCCAACACTCTTCAGATACTCACCCACTAACTCCCTCACCTTCCAGTCTGCTCAAATGTCAAGTTCTCAACAAGGCCTGCCAAATCCTCTTCCTCGTGGCCAGTTCTCCTTTTTCCTCCTTCCATAGCATTTACTGTGCAATACAGTACAAACACACTGAAATGTATCCGGTGAGGGCAGAGTTTTCAGCTAACTTATTCAAGTTCCTAGAACAGTGCCTGGCTCATAGTAGGCCTTCAAATATGTATCAAATGAACAAAAAGAACGACAGGAGCCTCAAAGGAGCAGAGCCTGGTTTGTAAAAGGTGATGGAGGAAAAGCCTTCTCTATTTTGAAGACTTCAGAGGATGTCTAAGTGACCTAAGGGGGCAGGAAATAGATGAAGAGTTCAGAGAAGAGATTGAGGATGTGGGAAGAGGTGTTAGCCACACAACGGGGCTTAAGAATCCAGTATTAAGTTTTGGGAGGGGCACAGAAGTTGGAGGCTGAGTCAGAGGAGAAGCAGCCTGGAACAATTTGCAGATGAAAGTTAAAAAAGCAGAGTAAGGCTAAGCGATGTATTTACATTTTAGATGGAGACAGCCATATAAGGTCCAGTGAGGCTCACGCCTGTAATCCCAGTACTTTGGGAGGCTGAGGTGGACAGATCACCTGAGGTCAGAAGTTTGAGACCAGCCAGGCTAACATGGTGACACCCCATCTCTACTAAAAATACAAAAATTAGCCAGGTGTGGTGGCGGTCACCTGTAATCCCAGCTACTCAGGAGGCTGAGGCAGGAGAATCACACGAACCCAGGAGGCAGAAGATGTAGTGAGATTCCACCACTACACTCTAGCCTGGGCAACAGCAAGACTCTGTCTCAAAAAAAAGAAAAAAAAAAAAAAGGTGAGTTTAGCAGGCATCAAAAGAATTAGTCCTGGCAACCTCTGGTAGATAGAAAGGATTCCTCCTTTGGGAGCCTATGAAGGGAGGCATCACACCATGATTTGAAAAATTTGAGAAACTGGTGGACAGTCCATTATATTTGGTCTTTCTCTTCTACCCAAGCACTACAGAGTTCATTCACAAGTGTCAGCTGGACCAAGACACAAGGCTACCCTGTTCATAGCACCATCTTGGCCCCTCAGAAAGCAATTCCCCTCTGCATAATAACCCTGTACTATGATCAGCCTGTCAAATCTTCATTCCTCTAGCCCAGAACTGACCCAGAATCCCTGTCATCCAGGATCACAACCCTAGTATCTAATAAGACAAAACTGGCTTCTTTTCAAAGACAGACCATAGCACTGAAGTGTCCTACCACCCCTTTGATGACCCTCATGCTGCTGAGGCAGGAGAAAGCCAGCCACAGGGAAGGCTTCCTTCTTCTGGCTCTGACTCACCTCTGTGGCTTGCTAGCTTCTCTCTACAGAAATTTCTTCAGAGTTATGAGACCATACGGGGATGCCAAGATTCAAGGAAAATGTTACTCCTAGTCAGAGAAAGAAATTACAATGCTTAGCCTCTAAGGAAAAGTGGCTTACTATAAATCGGGCCCTTGAGAATGGTGTCATTTAGATGCTCCCCACAGCTGTTAGGAGATTTAATAAATATTCAATAATTAGGCCAGGCACCGTGGCTCACGCCTGTAATCCCAGCACTTTGGGAGGCCGAGGCGGGCAGATCACTTGAGGCCAGGAGTTCGAGACTAGTCTGGCCAACATAGCGAAACCTCGTCTCTACTAAAAATACAAAAATTACCCGGTCAAGGTGGCACACGCCTGTAATCCCAGCTACACGAGAGCTGAGGCACGAGAATCACTTCAACCAGGGAGGTGGAGATTGCAGTGAGTCAGGATCAGGCCACTGCACTCCAGCCTGGGTGACAGAGTGAGTCTCTGTCTCAAAAAATACATATATATTCAATAATTAAGAATGCCTCCAAGACTCAACCTCCCACACAGAACAGACCCTTTAAAGGAAGCCATCAGTAATTAGACCTGAGACTGACTTCTTGACCACTAACTAGATCTTGGTGGTACGGAGAATTTGTCTTCCAAGTACTTACTAGTAAAACACCCATACTTCTGAGTCAGGTATCATCCATGAGTGATTCGTTAAGCAAATATTTAAAATAGCTATCTGTAGTAGTCAGTCTCCAAGATGGCCCAATGATCCCCACCTCTTGGTATGCACACCCTGGTATTCACACCGTCTCCCCACATTGTACCAGTGTCAATCTGTGTGACCGACAGAATACATCAGAGGCATGTCATTTCCAAGGTAAGTTATACAAGACTGGCTAGAGTCTTGGGCTCTCTTGGATCACTTGCTCTGGGGAGAAAACCAGTTGCCACATCCAACAGCCCTATGGAGAGTAACTAAGGCCTGCCAACAGCCATGTGAGTGAGCTTAGAAGTGGATCCTCCCCTAATCCAGCCTTCAGATGACTGCAACCTCAAGAAAGGCCTAATTCAGAACCACTCAGATTGTCCCACAGACACTATTTCCAGGTGGTAAGTTTTGGGGTAATTTGCTACACAGCAATAGATAATTAATTCAGTATCCTACACAGAACTGAGAAGGAAATGAGGTTTAACCCCAGTTCCTACACTATTTTAAGACCAATTTTTGTCCATAAGAAAGCAAATTTATTCAGTCATTCAACATTTTTTGGAGACAGGGTCTCACTCTCTTGCCCAGGCTGGAGTACAGCGGTGCAATCATAGCTCACTGCAGCCCTGAACTCCCGGGCTCAAGCAATCCTCCAGCCTCAGCCTCCCTGAGTAGCCTGGACTACAGGTGCATGCCACCATACTGTGTGTGTGTGTGTGTGTGTGGAGATGGGGTCTCAATATGTTGCCCAGGCAGGTCTCAAACTTTTGGCCCAGAGCAATCATCCTGCCTCAGCCTCCCAAAGTGCTGGTATTACAGTTGTGAGCCACTGCACCCGGCCTCCATTAGCTTTTTTAAATTTTCCTGTCCCTAATGCTTTGGAACTTCACTCCCAGCTTTCACAAACCCTGTGCAGAAGGTACATCAAGTCAAGTCCCACTCTCTAGTGATTTTAAGTGCTGCAAGGCGGGCAGGTTATATTTTCTCATACTCATTTTTTTACTGTACCACATGGTGTCCCCTCTGACGGGAGAAGAAAGTTAGGTCCCCTGCTCCCATTAATATTGGGACAAGGGGGAATCCATTTAGTATTTTACTAGGGAGAGAAAATCTTGATCACAAGACCTGAGAACAATGCTAATTTCTGCAGTTAGCGACTACGCGACGGCAGGAGCGAGGATACAATCACTGCTCAAGTCCCCTTCACAGCTGAAATGGCCATGGAGATAGGGAGGAGGCCGTCCCTTACCCCTGCCTGGACTCTGCTGTGTCTCCAAGCAGCAGGAGGGTTGTGCTGCTCCAAGAAAATCTGGAGCCTCCCTCTGTACAAAGAAGGTCAAAGGGCGAGCTTTCTTTCCATCAACCACAAAACCAGCCGCTGCCAAACCTAAACAGAGTGGTAGGCCGTCGGAGGTGAATGGAGCCCCAGACAGAAAACCACAACGAGGCTCTCCTCCCGCCGCCGGCTGGGGTCTGAGTCAGGTGACTCCTCAGGACAAACAGCAAACCTAAACAAAGATCACTCCCCACATGACTGACTCGGGGGAAGAAGACTCTCGCTGTAAGCCCAGGGCTGCCCGGTCCCAGCACGGAAAGCCATGAACTCCTGCTTCTGTGCAGTCTCAGGAAACTGGAGGAGCTACAAGTTATGCAGCAGCTCAGCCTGCAGGGATGCACCTGGAGGAACTCGGAACCCCATCCGAGGACACAGGCGCCCTGCCCTGCACACACGCCTCCCGCCCCAACACGCAGGCTGGACCCCTCCCCACCAGCTGTCACCGGCGCTCGCGACCAGTCACAGGCAGCGAAACCCGTCCCTCTGCGGCTGCGACCCCGCGGAGGCGGCAGAGGAGACGCTTTCGCCGAGAGCTCCGGGGCCAGGGCACGCCAGTCCCCCGGGAAGGGGCGGCAGAGTGGGCGCGGCCCCAGGCCCAGGAAGGCTCCGGATCCATCATCCCCCCAACGGGGAGCGAAATAAGCCTCCCAGACCCCAGCCCCAGGCGCCCCACCTTGTCACCGAAGCTGCGGGCCATCAGCAGGTCCGGGCTGGGCGTGCTGTCACCACCCACGGCCTCCTCGCTGCTGGAGCCGGCCAGCGGGTGCGGCATGTCGCGCAGGGAGTGGGGCCCCGTGGACGGCAGGGCCTTGGGGGGCCCGCCCGCCATGGCGCGCACCGCTCTGGACGCGCCGCCGCCGCTTCCTCCTGCTGCCCGCCGCTGCGAGCTCCCCGAGCGCCCCGGGCCGAGCCCCGCTCGGCCGCCGCTCAGCCCGAGGCCTTCCACCGGCCGGGCCGGGAGCCGCTGCCACCCGCCGGCTAGTGTCTGCCGGCGCTGAGACGCTCAGCTCCGCGCCGCGCGTCCCCGCTCCGCGCCCTAGCCCGCCGCGGGTCCGCTGGCAGCACGGCCGCGGCGCCCAGTCCGCACAGCCACGCCGCCCACCCGCTCCGGCCCCGCCCCCGAGGCGCCGCGGCTGCCCGGGAGGGGGCGGGGAGGGCGGGGGGAGCGGGGAGGGGGCACGTGGGGAAGGAGGGAGGGAGGGAGGGAGGGAGAGAGGGAGGGAGGAGGTGCAGCCCCGCCCCCGCCCGGCAGGAAGTGCGCTGTCGGCCTCTGCGTCTGTCCTCCCAGTGTCCAACGTTGCCTCGCGGAGGCCGCCGTGCGGAGCAAATGTCTAACGGAAATCAGAGGTGGAAAAGAGGTTGGAGGAGCCTGCTCCGTTCCACTCGCTTTTACTGATGCGCCCACCAGCAGCCACGCTTGGGGCTGGCGGCTTTGAGGACACGCACGTGAGTCAGGGTCTTATGGCCTCTAAGGCACGCGCAGGAAGAACCCGAAATAGACGGAATTACGACCCATATCGGAAGAATAGCATAAAGGGCGACGAGGCTCAAAGGAGCTAGAGGACATCGGGTGGGGAACCTGGAAGGGGCTTCAAGGAGGGGGTGTGGGGAGTCTTCAGCCTCACTCTGAGGTCCCCATTGTGTCTTGCTTCTGCAGCTGACCAAGGTTTGTGTAAAGTCAAACCTCAGAAGAGTGAGCATGAGGATAGAGCTGCAAATGATATACGACTCTTCAACTCACACTTTCGCCGAAGAGACTTTTGAAAGAACCATGAGGTTCAAGTTATTTTTCATGCATTTGTGTTTCCTTTCCAGGCCTTGGGCTGAGCTGATTCTCAGCTTTATTTGCTGGCATGGTGCAAATAGTCAAGGTGTTACTTCCAGCCCATTGGGGTGTAGATTAACCTCCTTTTTCCACCTTACCTGTCCCTAGATCTTCTGTTTCCAAGGCCAAGTCTTTAAAGGGTTTTCAGTCCCTCTAGCAAAGTAATGGGTAGGGAGGCTTATCGTGAGGGACCACATTTTCCCTACCCATTCCAAACTCAAAGGTTTGCCTAGCTTTACCTGCTAAAAGGTGATGACAGATTTTGACTCTGGGATTCACTAAGGCCTCTACCACAGTTTTCTCTAGAAACAAGTAGAAGAGAATGCAGAGGGTTGAAACCTACCCAAAATATCAGTCAGAGACTCTGAGCTTCAAAGACCTTCCCTTGTTTCCCCCAATGTAATTTATATAGGGCTGGACCCTTAGTCCTCAAGCTGTCATCTTTATCTCCTCCACGTAAGCCTGCCTTGGCTGGGAAAAAAATAGCATTCAAAGGGCACTGGGAACAATTTTAAATGGTGCATCTAAGGAATGCCAAGTTCTGGTCCTCTTGGAGTTGGATTAAAATTGTTAACACTTTCACATTCAAGGACTGCTTACAACTACTACAGACCCTATTATCTGTTCTTCTGAATTAGCATTAAAACAAATAGCACAATATAACTAGAAATGAGTATTCTATAGATGTATAACATAGGTTTTTCTTATTGAATGGTGCTACTTATTTTAACAACCAGGCTGCCTTAAATATGATGGAGATCTGTGTGGATTAAGACTCTATACAAGCGGCCGGGCGCGGTGGCTCAAGCCTGTAATCCCAGCACTTTGGGAGGCCGAGACGGGCGGATCACAAGGTCAGGAGATCGAGACCATCCTGGCTAACATGGTGAAACCCCGTCTCTACTAAAAATACAAAAAAACTAGCCGGGCGAGGTGGCGGGCGCCTGTAGTCCCAGCTACTCGGGAGGCTGAGGCAGGAGAATGGCGTAAACCCGGGAGGCGGAGCTTGCAGTGAGCTGAGATCCGGCCACTGCACTCCAGCCTGGGCGACAGAGCGAGACTCCGTCTCAAAAAAAAAAAAAAAAAAAAAGACTCTATACAAGCTTTCTCTTTAGGGCACCAGGGGAAAGTGAAAAAAGAACCACATTTGAATTCTGCTTTGTCACTACAAGTGGGTGACCATAAGCAAGTTACTAACCTCAGTGAACCTGTTCCTAACCTGAAAAGGAGGAGAATGGAGAGCAGGTAATAATACCTTATGAGATGGTTGTGAGAGTTAAATAGCATTCTTTATGTCATAGTCCTAGCAAAGTGCTGGCATGGAATAGATGCTCCCTAAATGTTAACTACCTACCTTCCCTTCCCTTTCTGTCAGACTTTTTCTACTATTCTTATGAAATAATAAAGAGTTTTTGTAATTAAATATGCTTTACTATTCTGAGTAGGGTCTGGTTGAATATATATATATCAGGTAGGGTGCCTCACACCTGTAATCCCAGCACTTTGGGAGGCCAAGGTGGGAGGATCACTTGAGCCTATAAGTTCAAGACCAGCTTGGGCAATATAGTGACACCCCCATCTCTATAAAAAATGTAAAAATTAGTCCAGCATGGTGGCACGTAACTGTAGTCCCAGCTACCCAAGAGGCTGAGGTGGAAGGATTGCTTGAGCCTGGGAGGTTGAGGGTGCAATGAGTGAGATTGTACCACCGTACTTCAGCCTGGGCAACAGAAGGAGACCCTGTCTTAAAAATATATATACGTACATATACATATATATATTTGTGTGTATATATGTGTGTATACATTGTGTGTGTGTGTGTGTATGTTGACCTCCAAAGTCCTCCATTTGCTCAGTTTAGATTGGAGTACCACTTATCTAGGCTCCCAACAAAAAAAGGGCCCAGATCCAAAATTCCTAAAAGGCCATATGAAATAGTTTATTACAGTTTATTTATGTATTTTCCAGTTTTCTGGTTAGTCGATGGCAGCTGGCCACAATTATCCAGTGGGTAGTCATCAAAACTAAAGAAAGTGAATTTATATGGAAAGTATTTTGGTAGAAAGTTTCCACCATGAAATTTAGCCCAGCCCTGCCCATTCATACTCACCATTTCCTGTGGTATTTCAGTGTTCCCTGTGGTGGGAAATTGTCACTGAAATAACATAAGTGTCCCAGAGCATGTGATTTTGCTTCTACTAAAAGGTTTGTTTTTTGTTTCTTTTTGTTTTGTTTTGTTTTTTTGGAGACAAGGTCTTGCTGTGTCGCCCAGGCTGGAGTGCAGTGGAGCGATCTCAGCTCACTGCAACCTCTGCCTCCCTGGTTCAAGCAATTCTCCTGCCTCTCAGCCTCCACAGTAGCTGGGATTACAGGCGTGTGCCACCACGCCCGGCTAATTTTTGTATTTTTAGTAGAGACAGGGTTTCACCATGTTGGCCAGGCTAGTCTCGAACTCCTGACCTCAAGTGATCTGCCCGCCTCGGCCTCCCAAAGTGCTGGGATTACAGGCTACTAAAAGTTTTAAAAGCAGCATGGTGCTAAGGAGGAAAGGAGGAAACGTGTAACGTTTCTCCGTCAGAGCAGAAGGCTCTGGTGTTTGTTGGAATTTACGGATTTCTAGGGTTGAGCTGAGGAAGACAGTAGATGTATGTGTGTGCATGAGGGGCGAGGGAGGTCCCCAGTGCCACCAGAACCCAAGAACACAGCATGGAGCCCTCCCAATCCATAAGGAATCTTAGACACTTAGGCTGGCACCTTTCAGGAGACAGGGCTTTGGGCCCCAGAATTTAGTATGCTTACCAAACAAATCCTATCAACCTCACTAGCAAGCCTGTCAGGGCTGCATGTGAGCACCCAGACCTCAGAAACAAAGCAGTCTCAATGCATCACTCGCTCATTCTCTCCCCTGGTACAGCGTGTGCTTAGGCCTTCTTCGTGTTTGTATTAGCCGCTTATCCTCTGGTGGTTTTTAGTACAATCATAGCTTTATTCTATATGGCATCCCAAGCCCTGCCTCAGAATAACACCACCACTTCTGAAGTGGACGGCTGGTGAGGACAAAGGACATTTTCAGAGAGCATTCAGGATGACATGTCGCAAACCACAGAAGGCTGTCTCAAACAAGGGGGGCAAGTGAGAAGGCACAATCCCCAACAGAGACAAAATTGTGCGGACAATTTAATTCAGCCAATGATGTCCCAGGAAAGAAACAAGGTCCATTTGAGTCCAGGATCTGAACAGTTTTGCAAACAAGAAATTGGAACTTGCTACTGAACCAGCAGAGGGGCTTGTGGGTGAATGAGAGCACCATTTTATCTCTCCATATAGAAAAGCTCCTGGCTTGCAAAGCACGAAAACCCCAATGCAGTGAGTTATACAATACAATCATGGAGTCAGTGTTGCAAATCTCAAACTTCGGGTGCCTAACAATCACTTGTGAGCTTGTTAAAATGCAAACTTCCAGGCCCCACATCAAGAGATTCTGCTTCTGGGGTGAGGCCTGGAATAATTTTTAATTTAAATTAATTTTTAATTTTAAAAAAATGTTAACAATCTCTTAGGTGATGCTTACACTGATGCTGATCTGCAGACTATATCTTGAGAAACATTGTTCTCTTAGCTCCTTCCATTTATCTCGCTCGCTCTCTCTCTCTTTTAACCTAGCATCAATCCATCAAGATCCTTCCATTTTTCTTTTCTTTCTTTTTTTTTTTTTTTTTGTGAGACAGTCTCACTCTGTCACCCAGGTTGGAGTGCAGTGGTGCAATCTCGGCTCACTGCAACCTCCACCTCCCGGGTTCAAGCAATTCACCTGCCTCAGCCTCCCAAGTAGCTGGGATTACAGGTGCACACCACCACGCCCAGCTAATTTTTGTATTTTTAGTAGAGATGGGGTTTTGCCATGTTGGCCAGGCTGGTCTCAAACTCCTGACCTCAGGTGATCCACCTATTTTGGCCTCCCAAAGTGCCGGGATTACAGGTGTGAACCACTGCGCCAGCTTCTCTCTCTCTCTCTCAACCTAGCATGAGTCCATCCAGATCCTTCCATTTTTCTTTTCTTTTTCTTTTTTTTTTTTTTTTATTTTGAGACAAAGTCTTGCCCTGTTGCCCAGGCTGGAGTGCAGTGGTGTGATCTCAGCTCACTGTCACCGCTGCCTCCCGGATTCAAGTGATTCTCCTGCCTCAGCCTCCATGTAGCTGGGATTACAGGCGCACACCACCACGCCCAGCTAATTTTTGTATTTTGAGTAAAGATGGGGTTTCACCATGTTGGCCAGGCTGGTCTCGAACTCCTGACCTCAAGTGATCTGCCCACTCCAGCCTCCCAAAGTGCTGGGATTACAGGCGTGAGCCACCACTCCCAGCCAAGATACTTCCATGTTTCTGAACCATAAATTGACATTCCAAACCTTTAAGTGCTTACTTTAAATACGTTTCCTGTTTGAAAACTTGCTTAGAAAGCAGTTTTCTATTAGAAAATTATATTACAAGGTCCTTTTGCTCCTAAACTTTTATGATTATTTTTAGTGAGCATTCTACCAGGCACTTAAAATATAAGGGAAGATTGAGGTGATGGATATCCCATTTACCCTGATGTGTTGTTATGCATTGTATACCTGTATCAAAGTATTTCATGTACCCCATAAAGATATACACCTACTGTGTGCCCACAAAAAATTTTAAATTAAAAAAAGATTTAAGGAAAGAGATCAGATGAACTAACCTATCTGTTGATATTTTTGTTGTTATTGTTGTTGTTTTTAGACGGAGTCTCGCTCTGTCACCCAGGCTGGAGTACAGTGGCGTGATCTCAGCTCACTGCAAGCTCCCCCTCTTGGGTTCACACCATTCTCCCGCCTCAGCCTCCCAAGTAGCTGGGACTACAGGTACTCACCACCACACCTGGCTAATTTTGTTTTTGTATTTTTAGTAGAGACGGCGTTTCACCATGTTAGCCAGGATGGTCTCGATCTCCTCACCTCGTGATCCACCCACCTCGACCTCCCAAAGTGCTGGGATTACAGGCGTGAGCCACCGCGCCCGGCTGATAGTTTCATTTCATAAGTCTGGTCACGAAGTTGATCACAGAGGAGTGGATGCTTTCCAGAGCCCCCAAAACATTGGCCTACCCTGAAGGCTTCTAGTAGCTGGGCCACATCTGGATATAGAAACACCTTTCACTGAAGGATACGTGCTACCTGGCTTTCTTTACAAGCCAGCACAGGTGTATGGAGTGTGGGCATGGATGTGTATTCCTTTGTGAGGGCTACCTGTTAGAGAGGTTGGGCTACAGAAGATATGGACCTGACAAGTACTGGGACCACGGGCACTGAGTTATTAGCAGTGATTCTTTGGATAGAATGGAAAAACCTACTTACTGGCTGTGTGCCTCCATGAGAGTGTTTGATTCCATCACTAGGAGTGATCCTTAAAAGGCATCTGGAGGCCAGGGGCAGTGGCTCACGCCTGTAATCCCAGCACTGTGGGAGGCTGAGGCAGGTGGATCATTTGGAGTCGGGAGTTCAAGATCAGCCTGGCCAACATGGCGAAACCACATCTCTATTAAAAATACAAAAATTAGCCAGGTGTGGTGGCAGGCGCCTGTAATCCCAGCTGCTTGGGAGGCTGAGGCACGAGAATCGCTTGAACCCGAGAGGTGGAGGTTGCAGTGAGCCCAGATTGCGCCACTGCACTCCAGCCTGGGAAACAAGGGTGAAACTCCATCTTAAAAAAAAAAAAAAAAAAAAAAAAAAAGGCATCTGGAACATGGACATCACACATGACAGGCCCAGCAGTTCTACTTTCAGAACACAATAGAAATGCATGCATACATTCACGAAAAGACAGATCCAAGAATCTCCTCAGCAGTGCTGTTTGTAAGAGCGAAAACTAGAAACAGGTCACATGGCTGTCAACAGAGGAATGCGTGAATAAATGTGGTACATTCACATAATGGAAGACTGCGCAACAGAATGAAGGAACAACATGGTGAATGCATCTCACAAACATAATAGTGCGTGAAACAAGCTAAATATAAAAGAATATCTGTTCTATGACTCCATTTATATAAAGCTAAAAAACAGGCAAAACTGTAGTGTGAGAAATCAGAAAAGTAGTGAGTTCTGGGGTATTTGGTTTTTAATCTGGGGGCTTGTTTGGTTTTTTGTTTGTTTGTTTTATTTTATACAAATTCATCAAGCAGGCCGGGTGCAGTGGCTTATGCCTGTAATCTCAATACTTTTGGAGGCCAAGGTGGGCAGATTGCATGAGCCCAGGAATTCAAGACCAGCCTGAGCAACATAGTGAAACCTTGTTTCTACAAAAACTTAGCTGGGCATCGTGGTGTGTGCCTGTAGTCCCAGCTACCCAGGAGGCTGAGGTGGGAGGATCACTTGAGCCTGGGAGGCAGAGGTTTCAGTGAGCAGAGATCATGCTACTGCACTCCAGTCTGGGTGACAGTGAGACCCTGTCTCAAAAAAAAAAAAAAAAAAAAAAAATTCTTCAAGCAGTATATTTTTGATTTGTGAGCCCTTATGTTCTACTTCAATAAGAAGTTTACATTAAAAAGGGCACCTAGTCTTTGACCCTTACTTCAAAAGTGAGGAAGCTGAGGCCCAGAGGTAGTAATTTGCATGAGGTCAACCAAGAGTGCTCCTGGCAATGATCCTTTCCACTTTGATGCATATTGATGTACAGGTGGATTTGGGGGATGCTAGTTTAATGACAAAGAAAGGAAGAAATAAGCAAAAAGAGAAGTGTCAGCCACTATCAGTTGCTGACTGATGAAGTGTCAGCCACTATCAGAGAGTCATTTGCTCCTTCTTCATTGCTTCATTGCTTGTCTCTTCTCCCTTCCTTTCAAATGCAATCATGTGTGGACCAATGCCTGGAGCTGCTGCAGCCATTCTGTGGCCATGAGTGGAGACATTCCGGATACCCTGAGGATAGATAGCTGAGTGGATAAATAGAAAGAGCCTGTGTCTTTGGTGGCATCACCGAGCCACTGCATCTAAATCCAGACTTCTTTTGTAGAATATAAACATCTAAATGGTGTCAGGCAGTTTAATTTGAATCCCTGTGACTTGCAGGTGAACTCATCCTTATGGATTCAGAAGACAAAGAATACAAGCAAGCAGGAGAAAGTCTAAGAAGAAAGTTCACCTGGTAGGTGGCAATGTTCACAGCAAGAGTACCATCCTTCTGTAACATGCATTCTCAAAAGAGCCAGTGTCACCTGCAAAAGGATGTAAATTGGTTCTTGGGGCCGGGAAGCAAAAAAAAAAAAAAAAAAAACTTAAATATTATAGTGGTCTGTGGCCCCCATAAAGCTCAGCCCTATTCCTTAGTATTTAATTTTTCTTTAAGGGAGCATTTAAATCTAATTAACTCTTCCCCTTTAGGGGCAGTGATAACAAATAATAAATTGAGAAACACTGCTTTATAGAGATGGAGGGCAAGCTCTAAAACAGAAAACAGATTTCCTGGCTTCCTAAGGTAGACCTGCGAATCCTTCCGAAAACCTTGGAATTCCACTGACTTCCAGATCCTTGCCCCAGCTTCTGCCACTGTGGTAGCTCCAGCCATACCAGCTCTGCCCAGCCCTTCCTGTGCTTTGTAACCCAGGCCTGCAGACAAGTCCTCACTACACAGAGGTAGTGAGAGCGTGTATGCAGGAGGTCTTGTCTTTATGCATAACCTAGCAGTGTAGCAAGACAGTGCTGGGGGCACAGCAATAAAATTATACTTCGTGCCCAGATTATAGATCCAGATGAGGTGACTTGCTAAAGAAAGGGCTTCCCCATTCCCCCCAGCTATATAAGGCAATGAATTATGCTAGGATTTCAGGATTTCCTGATTGGCAGGGTAGGAGGCTTGGTTTTCCCCCTCTGCTCCCACTCAGAGCTTCCTGTGATGTGGCAGGCAGAAAAGTACCACCACCACCACTCATGAAAGTCGGAGACGGGCCGGGCACAGTGGCTCACACCTGTAATCCCAGCACTTTGGGATGCTGAGGCAGGTGGATCACATGAGGCCACGAGTTCCAGGCCAGCTTAGCCAACATGGCAAAACCCCGTCTCTCCTAAAACAAAATACAAACATTATCCAGGCATGGTGGTGCACATCTGTAATCCCGACTACTCGGGAGGCTGAGGCACGAGAATCGCTTGAATCCAGGAGGTAGAGGTTGCATGGGCCAAGATCGTGCCACTGCACTCCAGCATGGGCAACAGAGCGAGACTCTGTCTCAAAAAAAAAAAAAGCTACACAATGTCCACTCCTCCTTCCAGCTGAGACCCAGTTGGGCTTGGCTAGTTGAAAAAGTAAAGAAGGATGGAAGGAATATCTCCCACCTACAGCTCTAGGTGGTACAGAAACCAAGGGATTGATTGTGCAGAGCTGAGTAAAGAGAGGACCCGAGACCAGAGAACCACAGTCAGGGGTCTGAATTAGTCACTAAAGCAAGGGGAATGGTGGTGGTGGCAAAAGCAAATGACAAAGGTCAAGAACAGAGCCAGGGTTCAAGACTCAGAAGCAACAGGTCCAGAGAATAAGCCTTCTGGTAATCCTGGGCAGCATCTGGGTGGGCACTGTTGTCATTATGAACCATGGTGCTTGCTGGGTGGGACGCATGGTGTGGCCAGGACAGCCAGAATGGAAGGCTTCCTTTGGAAGGCTTCTCTGAGCTAGCAGGAAGATTTGGACAGGGGAAATGATTTCTCACAACTCCTTCCTGACCACCTACATAATTGGTTCAAATTAAGCACTAGGTTGTAGAGGTACCAATTCTTTGTTTCTGGAGGCAGGATGCTTTCTTGGCATAGATATACTCCCTGAGGAAGGATGTGGCTAGCAATAATTGTCCTCTCCTCTTTTAATTTAAACTTTTAATTTTAGAATACTTTGGATTTCCAGAAAACTTGCAAAGATAGTACAGAGTTTTTGCGTATTCCTCACCCCGTGTCTCCGTTGTTAACATCCTATATCATTCTCGTACATTTGTCACAATTGAAGAGTCAACATTGGCACATTGCTATTAACTAAACTGTATACTTTATTTTTATTTAACTAGATTTTCCTCAAAGTTCTTTTTTTATCCTGAAATCCCACCCAGGATACCACATTACATTTTGCAGTCATGTCTCATTAGCCTCCTCTGGTCTGTGACAGTTTCTCGGACTTTCCTTGCTTATGACAGTCTTGAAAAGTATTCATCAGGTAATTTGTAGATTGTCCCTCAGTTTGGTTTTGTCTGATATTGTCCTCATGGATAAAGTAGAGTTCAGGGGTTTTTGGGAGGAAGACTACCGAGGTAAGGTGCCTTTTGCTTTTTCTTTCTTTCTTTTTTCTTTCTTTCTTTTTTTTTTTTTTTTTTTTTTTTTTTTTTTTTTTTTTTTTTTTTTTTTTTTTTTTTTTTTTTTTTTTTTTTTTTCTTTTCTTTTCTTTTTTTTTTTCTTTCTTGATGGAGTTTTGCTCTTGTTGCCCAAGCTGGAGTCCAATGGTGCAATCTTGGCTCACTGCAACCTCCACCTCCCGGGTTCAAGTGATTCTCCTGCCTTAGCCTCCAGAGCAGCTGGGATTACAGGCATGCACCACCATGTCCAGCTAATTATTTGTATTTTTAGTAGAGACAGAGTTTCACTATGTTGGCCAGGCTGGTCTCGAACTCCTGACCTCAGATGATTCACCTGCCTCAGCCTCCCAAAGTGCTGGGATTCCAGGCATGAGCCACCACACCTGGCCAGTAAAGTGCCATTCTAATCACATCATATATGTTAATCTGTGTTGCATTGCTGTAAAGGAATACTGAGACTGGATAATTTATAAAGAAAAGAGATTTATGGCTGGGGGTGGTGGCACATGCCTGTAATCCCAGCACTTTGGGAGCCCAAGGCAGGCGAATCACGAGGTCAGGAGACCGAGACCATCCTGGCTAACATGGTGAAACTCCGTGTCTACTAAAAATACAAACAATTAGCCAGGCATGGTGGCAGGTAGGTGCCTGTATTCCCAGCTACTCAGGAAGCTGAGGCAGGAGAATGGCGTGAACCCGGGAGGCGGAGTTCACAGCGAGCCGAGATCGAGCCACTGCACTCCAGCCTGGGTGACAGAGTGAGACTCCCTCTCAAAAAAAAAAAAAGAAAGAAAGAAAGAAAGAAAAGAGGTTTATTTGGCTCACAGTTTGCAGGCTATACAAGAAGCATAGTGCCAACATCTGCTTCTAGTGAGGTCTCAGGAAGCTTATAAAATCATGACGGAAGGCAAAGGAGAAGCCAGCATATCACATGGCAAGAGAGGAAGCAAGAGAGAGGAGGAGGTCCCAGGCTCATTTAAACAACCAGCTCTCTTGCCAGGTGTGGTGGCTCATGCCTGTAATCCCAACACTTTGGGAGGCTGAGGTGGGCGGATCACCTGAGGCCAGGAGTTCAAGACCAGCCTGGACAACATGGTGAAACCTCATCTCTACTAAAAATACAAAAATTAGTTGGGCATGGTGGTGCATGCCTGTAATCCCAGCTACTCAGGAGGCGGAGGCATGAGAATCATTTGAACCCAGGAAGTGGAGGCTGCAGTGAGCTGAGATCACGCCACCGCACTCCTGTATGGGTGACAGAGTGAGACCCTGTCTCAAAAACAACAACAACCAGCTCTCTCACGAACTAACAGAGTGAGAACTCACTCATTACCCTGGGGAAGTACCAAGCCATTCACGAAGGATCCACCCCCACCCCCATGACCCAAACACCTCTAACTAAGCCCCACCTCCAACACTGGGGATCATATTTCAATATGAGATTGGAGGGGACAAACATCCAAACTAGATCATCATGTCAAGGGCATGTACTGTCAACATGGCTTATCACTGAGGATGTTAAACTTAATTGCCTGGTCAAGGTAGTGTTTGCCAGGTTTCTCCACTGTAAAGTTACTCCCCTCCCCCATATGGCATACGAATTAGACATCAATAAAGCTGTTACAAAAAAAAAGATGAATGATAATCTGGAGAAAGTTATTTGGAACACAAATGACCCACAAGGTATTAATATCTTTTTTTTTTTTTTTTTTGAGATGGAGGCTTGCTCTGTCGCCCAGTCTGCAGTGCAATGATACAGGCTCAGCTCACTGCAACCTCCACTTTGTGGATTCAAATGATTCTCCTGCCTCAGCCTCCTGAGTAACTGGAATTATAGGCACGTGCCACCACACCCAGCTAATTTTTGTTTTTTTAGTAGAAACAGGGTTTCACCATGTTGGCCAGGCTGGTTCGAACTCCTGACCTCAAGTGATCTGCCCACCTCAGCCTCCCAAAGTGCTGGGATTACTGGCATGAGCCTCCACGCCCAGGCTCACAAGGTATTAATATCTTTAATACAATACAGAGCCCCTAAAATTAATTTTTTAAAAAATCAAAAAATGGACAAATGGGTATGGATAGTCAATTCAAGAAGGAAGAAATATAAATGGTCAAAATATGTATTCAGTCTCACTACAGATCAATAAAATGTTGATGAAAACAAAAGCATACAATTTTTGCTTGTCCTACCAGCAAATGTTAAAAGAACAATAAATAATAGGTAGGGATTCATGCTTTATGAAGTTTAAACAATTTGGGGGGCCTTCTTCAAGAAAAAGAATTCAAAATTTCAAATATAAAAATTGGTACAAGACCAGGCACTGTGGCTCACGCCTGTAATCCCAGCACTTTCATAGGCCAAGGCAGGAGGATTGCTTGAGCCCAAGAGTTGGAGACCAGCCTGGGCAATATAAGGAGACCTTGTCTTTATGAAAAATTTTTTAAATTAGCTGGGCATGGTGATGTGCACCTGTAGTTCCATCTACTCAGGAGGCTGCAGTGGTAGGATCACTTGAGCCCAGGAGTTCAAGGCTACAGTGAGCTATGATCATGCCACTGCACTCCAGCTTGGGAGACCAGAGAGAGACCCTGTCTCAAAAAACAAAGAAACAAACAAAAAACCCTGATACAAAGCTGAATATTCATTTAGAAAATAAATAGCCACAATTATACGTTTTACAAAACTGATAAATATGACAAACATCACAAAAGTATTAAAATGATTAGCTGCCTGGCACACCTCTATCATACTATTTTCCATAGTCTTTAAATGCATATTCTTTACTAAATTCTTCATAGGACAACTATTTTATGGTATTATTTTCTAAAGAGAATAGAAAGATAATGAAGTCTTCTAGCATGGCTGATTGAAATTTGCTTTGCTTTTTTATTATTAATAGTTTACAAAATTTTATTTCAACTTCAGATTTGTTGTCGGTAATGTGCTAAAATGCCCTCCGATACCTCAGCAGGCTTACCACCAGACATTCTTGCTATTTGTGTACTGTTACAGGTTTTTGGCCTACAAACCCAGGAATTCTTACTCTGTTTCAGGTATGTTCCACCAAAAAGAAAGAAAAAAATCTATATGGTGAGTGTATGTTGCATTATCAAGGATATTCCTGATAGAAGAGAACTTACAGTTTTGTTAGTCATCGGTGAGTAGTGATTCATTCATTTACAACTATATAACTTTGACAACGGGAAGAATTTTTTACAGACTAGCTCCTGGCTCTATGTTTCAAACTTTGTTTCTTCTCTGGTACTCTCATTCATCTGGTGCCAGTGCCTCAAGGCACATTTATTTCATGATGTGACCTCTGGCCCTGCATCTTCATAGAAGCATACCTACACCAGGATGTCTAGCAGTAACTTATCTATGCACAGAAGTGACAGCAAACCTTGTAAATACATCCTGCTAAACTCAAATAAATGTATCCGAGCTCAACTTTCAAACGGCAGCCACTGCAAGGCCATAAAACCCAAGGGCAAGAGTAAGGGAAGGGGAATTTGGACTGGAGCGGTACAGTTGTCCTTATCTGGCTGCCATTAAAATAACTTACTTTGTCAAGTTTCAACCCTGTGAGCACATTGCTAAGGCTTCTCCCAGGGCCAGGGGAAATGGGACTCACAAGTTCAAGCAAAAAACGCCCTGAAATGTAAGCTTCAGCTTCAGAGGCAACCAGCCTCCACATCCACTGCTAGTGAGAATACTGAGAAACAGGTACTCTCAAACGGTGTTGGCAAAAACATGAAGTGCTATCAAAATAAAAGCTCTAGACTTTGGGAGGCCAAGGTGGGCAGATTGCTTGAGCCCAGGAGTTTAAGACCAGTGTAGGCAACATGGTGAAACAAAAATTAGCCAGGCATGGTGGCATGCGCCTGTAGTCTCAGCTACCTGGGAGGCTAAGATGGGAGGATCACCTGACCCCAGGAGGTTGAGGCAGCCAGTAAGCCATGATCACAACACTACACTCTAGCCTGGGCAACAGAGTGAGACCCTGTCTCAATCAATCAGTCAATCAATCAATTAAAAATAAAAGCACTGGCTGGGCGTGGTGGCTCACGCCTGTAATCCCAGCACTTTGGGAGGCTGAGGCGGGCAGATTACAAGGTCAGGAGTTCAAGACCATCCAGGCCAACATGGTGAAACCCTGTCTCTACTAAAAATACAAAAAAATTAGCTGGGTGTGGTGGTGCGCACCTGAAGTCCCAGCTACTCGGGAGGGTGAGGTGGGAGAATCACTTGAACCCGGGAGGCGGAGGTTGCAGTGAGCCAAGATCATGCCACTGCACTCCAGCCTGGTGACGGGGGAGACTCTGTGTCAAAAAAATAAAAATAAGTAATAAAGCACTAATACCTAAGGAAATATGTGCAAAGACATTTATTGCAGCATTATTCGTAGAGGCAATGAAAGTGGAAACAATCTCATATACATCACTAGGGAAAGGGTTGAATAAATTATGATACATCCAGCTGGTCGTGATGGCTTATGCCTGTAATCCCAGCACTTAGGGAGGCCGAGGCAGGCAGATCATGAGGTCAGGAGTTCGAGACCAGCCTGGCCAACGTAGTGAAACCTTATCTCTGCTAAAAACACAAAAATTAGCCAGGCATGGTGGCATGCACCTGTAGTCCCAGCTACTCGGGAGGCTGAGGCAGGAGAATCGCTTGAACCCAGGAGGTGGAGGTTGCAGTGAGCCGAGATTGTACCACTGCAATTCCAGCCTAGGCGACAGAGCAAGACTCTGTCTTAAAAAAAAGAAAAATTCTGATGCATCCACACTGTATTATGCAGCATTAAAAAAAGATAAATTTGAGCTGTATGTATGGGAAGGTCTGTCATACATTTAAAATGGCAAACGGTAAAGTAATATGCATTATGGGATCACATTTTTGTAAAGAAGAAAACTCCATATATAATATATGTGGGTATGTAAATATATATAGATATATGAATATATATGTATAGATTTTCTATGAGAACAAAAGAATATGCAGCCAGACTTAAGGTTTTCAACTTGGTGAGGGTCAGGGAATGGAGATTAGTGGAGGGGACAGACCAGATTAATGTTTCCTTTCTACAACTTTGTGTTGTTTACTTTCACAGAGTACAATAAGTGTTTATTTATTTTGTAATTTAAACATTATAATAAAATTTTAAAAAATCAAAACATATGAAACATCTGAGCTAAACATATTTACAGTGCCTCCCACTTCTTTTCCAAGGCTTACCAATATTCTTTGTAAAGCCAACCCTGGGCTTACTTTTCTCCACTCCTGAAGTAATAGAATTATATGAAGAGCTTTGAGAAATCTCCATGGTACCCCATGGTATAAAAGTTCATGTCCATGGTACTTTTTTAAAAACCTCTATGACATATATCACTTTCTACTTTAAGTTATATCTATCTAATCCCAGCACTTTGGGAGGCCGAGGCGGGTGGATCACCTGAGGTTGGGAGTTCGACACCAGCCTGGCCAACATGGTGAAACCCCCGTCTCTGCTAAAAATACACAAATTATCTGGGCATGGTGGTGTGTGCCTATAATCCCAGCTACTCAGGAGGCTGAGGCAAGAGACTACTTGGACCCAAAAGGTGGAGGTTGCAGTGAGCCGAGATCACGCCACTGCACTCAGCCTGGGGAACACAGCAAAACTCTGTCTCAAAAAAAAAAAAAAAAAAAAAAAATTATATTTATCTGCTACTCAACAGCAACAACGACAATTTCCTTGCACAATCTTAGACTTCTGCCTTACAGCTGTGTCCCACCTCTCTCCTCCACTTTACAGACACACTCCTTCCTGTCCTACCTCATTTTTATCAGATGTATCTTGAAACGTGTTAAAAAGCAAGGTTACATTAATGTCTTACAATTTGAGGTACACTACAGAATCATTTCCAATTTTAGAAAAAAATTCAATTTTACTTCTGATTAGAATTTTTTTTACACTTCAGAGTTGTGTGTCTTTTTGCTATTAAGGATGTAATACATATATTTATAACTGAAGAAGTATATTCTTTTTTTTTTTTTTTGAGATGGAGTCTTGCTCTGTCACCCAGGCTGGAGTGCAATGGCACAAACTCGGCTCACTGCAACTTCTGCCTCCTGGGTTCAAGTGCTTCTTGTACTTCAGCCTCCCGAGTAGCTGGGACCACAGGCGTGTGCCACCACACCCAGCTAATTTTTTTTTTTTTTTTTTTTGAGACGGAGTCTCACTCTGTCGCCCAGGCTGGAGTGCAGTGGTGCGATCTCGGCTCCCTGCAAGCTTTGCCTCTCGGGTTCACGCCATTCTCCTGCCTCAGCCTCCCGAGTAGCTGGGACTACAGGCGCCCGCCACCACGCCCGGCTAATTTTTTGTATTTTTAGTAGAGACAGGGTTTCACCGTATTAGCCAGGATGGTCTCGATCTCCTGACCTCGTGATCCGCCCGCCTCAGCCTCCCAAAGTGCTGGGATTACAGGTGTTAGCCACTGCGCCCAGCCTAATTTTTGTATTTTTAGTAGAAACAGGGTTTTGCCATGTTGGCCAGGCTGGTCTTGAACTCCTCGGCTCAAGTGATCCTCCTGCCTTGGCCTCCCAAAGTGCTAAAATTACAAGTGCAAGCCACTACACCTGGCTGCTAATGAAATTCTTAAAGCAATATTTAGATTCAGAAGTAAATCACAAATTTTACACACTGTATTAGAACACTATCTTGGTCCACTTGGGCTGCCATAATAAAAGACCACAGACTCAGTGACTTAAACAACAGGAATTTTTTTCTTACAGTTCTGGAAACTGGGAAGTCAAAGATCAAGGGACCAGCAAGGCAGGTTTCATTCTGAGGCCTGTTCTCTTGGTTGACAGGTGACCATCATCCAGCTATGTGCTCTAGTGACCCCTTGAGTATGTTCTATGAGAGAGAGGCCGCAAGCTCTCTGGTGTCTCTTCTTATAAGGTCACTAATCCTATCAAATCAGGACCCCACCCTTATGACCTCATTTAACTTTAATTATTCCCTTAGAGACCCCATTTCATTCCAGTCACACTGGAGGTTAGGGCTTCCACATTGGAGTTTTGGAGGTGATGGCGGTGGCTGCTGCCATCACTCTTACTGCAGCAGGGAGGCGCAACTAGGGCTGCACATTCCATGAGCTGGTGGGAGCCCTGCCCTACTGGGTGGGACTACAGCTGCCCAAACTGCGGCTGTAAGTCTGAACCTCCCTGTGCCCTTGGACGGGGCAGGAAGGAGGCAGGATCTGCCCTCTTGTGTGCAACTGCAACCACCTGACCCACAGCTGCAGACCTGGGCTTCGCACTTAGAGCAGGCAGAAGCCGAGGACAAGCAGGAACCCTGACCTTTCCAAGTTGGCTGGGCGGGAGCTCCCTGGGTGCAGCTGTGGCTGCCCTCTCAGGCGCAGGACCTGGGCAGGTTTACAACTGGGCAGGTTTACATCTCTGCAGCCTGCACCCTTGGGGCTCGAGAAGGCCCCATCGGCCAATCCCTGCTGGCTCGGGGATGTCTGTTCCCGCCGCCTGGCCGCTCCCCGCTCCTGGAGCCAGCTCCTATCTTGGAGCAGGTTTGGGGCCAAGCCCCGGGGCCTTGAATGGCAGTGGGAGGCAGAGCCCTGGGTGGAAGGGAGTGGGTCCTTGGTAAGGCCCCACCTTCAGGCCGGGCTTCCAGTCCCGCCAACCAGAGTGGGGACTCATGGTGCCTCTTCCGGGCGCCCATGGCCACCCGCGGACCAATCAGCATGCACTGCCTCTTCTCTGAGCTCCATAAAAGCCCTGGGCTTAGCCAGAGCAGGGGAAAGGTCTGCAGAGTACAAAGAAGACAGAGAGACTATGGGATGACCAACTGCAGAGAAGAGCTACGTTCTCCACTGAGAGCTGCAGAGACAACCTGCCAGCAGAGAGGAGCCACCCTCTCCAGATGAGAACTGAATACTGGACACATGACCCGCCTACAGAGAGGAGCTGCCCACTGTGGGTCTCCTCTGAGCTGTTGTAACACTAAGTAAAGCTCTTCTTTGTCATGTTCACCCTTCACTTCTCTGTGTACCTCCTTCTGACTGGACACAGGACAAGAACTCGGGCAAAGGTGCTGGCCAGAAAATTGACACCCCAAAGATCCCATACACATTCAGTCCATAATACATAAGATCAATTATCACAAAATAGTAGGATATTTTTAATTTTGTCCTAAATTATCATAGGTATTGCAAATTGTTTTATCTTAATACAATATCTTTGTTACTAGAGAATCAGTATCAAGCTTCACTTGTTACTTATAAACCTATATATATGTATGTGTGTGTATATATATACACACACAAATATAACAGGAATTATCAAATGTTTAATATTGCAGAAATAGTTCTTTAGCCAACAGTGCAACTGTTGTGACTACTGAACTAATTCTGACGAGCTCCAGAATCACAAATAAGAATAAGGAAAATAGGAAAATGGACACTCACTAAAGGGAAACATCTTGGTTGTGCACAATTCCATTGAATTCCTCTGATCTGAGAGGAGGTATTTGGAAGTTAATAATTTGCCTTTTCTCTTGCCTCAGTTCTGCTGCTCAGCTATTCCCAGCTAAAATGAGCTGTCCCATTTCTGACCTCAACAGAGGCATAACTCGTAAACCTTCACAGCAGTCCAACCCAGCCGCCTTTTCTTTCAAGAACACAGGGCAAGAGGTGTTTCCACAGGGTGTAAATGGTGTTAGTCACAGAAGCAGACGTTCAAGGTTCCAGGTTGTTCTGTGACAGAGCCAAATGCCAGATCCCAAGCACAGAGGTTCTCATCTGTCCTTTAACAAATTTGCGTGCTTGCATGTGTGTACTGGATCCTCT